CCAGGGAGGAGGCTGTGCTCTGATGACTCGGTCCAACAAGTTTGAACAGATCGTCAGAGGGATGAATTTGGTGAGTCAGAGCACCTGCTGGCAGCGGGAGATGAGCTGATGGAGCCAACTCCTGCCTGGGCCTGGCTTCACTCTCCCATTTCTGCAGGTGCTGGACGTCCCACTGACTGTGAAGATACGGACGGGGGTGCAAGAAAAGATTAATGTGGCTCATAAAATAATCCCCAAGATCCGAGAGTGGGGAGCATCCATGGTCACGGTACGGGGATACTTGCTGTGGTGTGAGATTGTTGGCTGGTGTCTGGGGAACTCTGCTTGTGTGTCAGCCTAGAGCATGACGTGGAGGTGACCTTAACCCTTCCGCACAGCTGAGTAGCTCTTTCAAATGCCTTTGACCAGCTGCCTACTACATTTTGGTGTTTTCTGCTAATAACAGAGAAAAATTCAGATGCAGGAAGCATTTTCCTAGGTGCTCCTGAGCCTTGTATCCATTATGAAGGGAGATGGTTCCTGCAGTGCTCTGGAAAAGAGCCCAATAAGCCTTGTTATAGCAGGGCTGGAGAAGCGATGGGGCCATCTCATTCACACGGGGCTGAGTAGTTCCTGCCCACAGTGAATATTCCCTTTCAGTGTGAACAGTCACTTCTTGCTCTGGCTTGCAAATAGCCAAAATATTCCTCAGAATGCACCCAGCTCTGCTAACCACTTCCACAGCCTGGTAGCCACAGGGAGCCCTTACCTCAGCCCGCTGCCATTGCCTCTGTAGAAGCACGTTCCCCTGGCACTCCTGTTCTGCCCTGTCTCCTCTGGGGCATTCCGTGAGGTCTTACTACAACTTTTTTCCTCAGCTTCACGGCCGATCCAGGGAGCAGCGGTACACGAGGGGTGCTGACTGGGACTACATAGCTGAGTGTGCTAAAATAGCAAGCCCCATGCCTCTTTTTGGTAGGTGTTTCTGTTGTTTTTGTCACGTGGGCTGAAAGTGCTGCATGTTTGATTTGGAATATCTTAAAAAAATGAAAAACGGGCTCCCAAGGACATTCAGCCTGAGGGAGAGGTTGGAGTACTGCTGCTGCTGAGATGATGGAGGGAGTTACCAGCAGCTCTCGTGCAGCGCAGATCTGCTTGTGTGCTTGGGGCTGGGCATGACAAGCACTGAGTGGAGTAGGAGCAGAAGGGACGGGCAGGACACAGAACACTTTGTCTTTAGCAGGTGCTTTCTCTCTTGGGCACCGTGGCACAGACAGTCCCAGCTAAACTGTCAGGGTAGGAGTTGAGAGTGGAGGAGAAGGTTCTCCTTTTCTTTGTAAGGGGAGCGTTAATCAGAAACATCCCTGGGAGTCTGAACATGAGCCCCAGAACCTCCTTGGACAATCTGGCTTTTGGATCCTGTGTCCATTTTGAATTTTATCCCATGCCTGGATTAACTCATTTTGACTTGCCCTCGTGTATCACTTTGACCTCTGCCTTCTCCCTTCTGGACAGGAAATGGTGATATTTTGTCTTATGAAGATGCTAATCGAGCCATGCAGATGGGTGTTTCAGGAATTATGATTGCAAGGCAAGTGCGTGTGTGTCCCCTTTGCTTCTGAGCTCCGTCAGTGCAAGAGTAAAAAAAGAATTTAAAAACCGCTAAACAAAGCCAAAACATGAGAAGTTTCCTCTTGCTGAAACTACCCTTTGAGACTTGGTAAAATCTGTTTGTGTCTGTGGGAACTAACAGCAGCTTCCTACTGAAATTGGAAAAAAAAAAATTAAAGCAGCATTGGCTGACAAATAAGTGCTGGAAAGTCTTTTAAATAAGTTGGCATCTTCAGAAGCATCAATCGTGGGAATAACTGCACATTTTTTTTTGGCTACAGGGGGGCACTCATCAAGCCGTGGCTTTTCACTGAAATTAAGGAACAGAGACACTGGGATATCTCCTCCAGTGAGAGATTTGATATCCTCAAAGACTTCACCAACTATGGCCTTGAGCACTGGGGGTCAGATACTCAGGGAGTGGAGAAGACCAGGAAGTTCCTGCTGGAATGGCTCTCGTTCCTGTGCAGGTAATTCTCCCTGGCTGAGAGGGTCTTTAATGCACCGAGCCTGGAGCCTTTGAACAACAGCACACGCTGCCGTTGCATTTTATTCCAGGTATATCCCAGTTGGCTTACTAGAACACCTACCTCAGAAAATTAATGAGCGGCCACCTTACTACATGGGGAGAGACTATCTGGAGACGCTGATGGCAAGCCAAAATGTGGATGATTGGATTAAAATAAGGTAATAAAGCATTGAACTTCATTGGAATTGCTCAGAAGGGACATTGCAGAGCCTCACAAAATCACTGTGCCTGCAGGCATTCTCTGGAGAGGGGGTGATGACTCTTTCCCATCAGTTTAAGAGGTTGTAGGGGTTAACCAGTACTTTGAGGTTTTAACGGAGTTTGGAGTTGCCATAAAGAGCTCTCTCAATCCCTGTAGCTGCTTCAGCAGGTCATCCAGTACCTGCTGCGAATCTGGAATAGGTGACCTCTCTCATGACACGCTGTTTGTCCCAGAACAGTCACAGGAACCGAGAGATGAGAGCGCAGCAATGGGGCGTCTCAGGCTTTTGGCACCGGATCCCTCCATGCTCTGCCCCGACAGTCCCACCCTGCCAGCCCCACCCAGACACCAGGCGGGCAGGCAGTCCCCGTCCCCAGGTTAGGAGAGCTGAGCATTTTCCCCATTTTTCATTTTTTGATTTCTGAGTTCATGCCACAAAGTGCAGGAAACTGTTTTTCCCCACACCTACGAGTCCTCAGGCACTGGCTTGAAATGACTTTGGAAGCTCAAAGTAAAAATATGAGCTGGAGCAGCCAGCTGCTATTTCCCGTCTCATGGAAACGGAGATTAGCAAAAATAGAGCACGGCTACAGCCTTTTCTGATTTTTCTAATCATCCATTTTGTTCGTACTGGGAACAGCTGCCTAAAACCATATTACAGGTACATCGAGTTTTGATCAGAATTTGTAAGTGCCATTTTTCAAGCAGAACCTGCCTGTGTTAGGCTGCACAAAACTTTGTAACCTGTGGCCTTTGCAGTGCCGTGTAACAGACATTTATAGCCATAAGAACTCAAAAATTTAAAGCAGTTTAGGTTTATTCATTAAAGCTCATGTGAAGGAGATGCAAACCAGAAGCGGGGTTTTCTGAGCGCTCTCCACTTCTGCTTTTGTGCTGTAGATCCAGGCTCTTGCGATGCAATTCTATGCCCTGCTGAGATATTCTCTCTCTGACATGCCTTACGGAAAGTTTTAGTGATGCTGTATTGAATCAGCATCCAGGAAATAAGTTAAACCTCCTTGACTATAAAGAAAATCACTCCGCACTGAGAACACAATGTGTGTTCCAAAGTGTGAAATAGTTGAAGTCTTAAGCTAGGATAAATCTGATCGCAATAGAACTGGCTTACATCATTTTAAGATCTGACCTTAATACTTTTTGGCACTAACAGGGTTTTGGCTCCACATAAGCACAGCGAGAGGTGGGGAGCTGCTTTTCAAAGGCTCGTGTTGATTTTAGGCATGTCATTGCCAGCAGCGAGGCTGGTATTCAGGTCACCAAACTCAGGAACCCATTTTGGCATCGTCTCTCGGTGACTCCCCAGCAAGAAGAGCATTGCCCTTATCTGGAGGCTGCGTCCCTGCAGCGCAGCGGTCAGGGTTAAATCTCAGCACCAGAGCTGGTTTTGTGCAGCAGTCCTAAATTTTTGGGAGGGTAAGGGCTTATTTGACACATCTGACTGCAGTCACCATCGCTGTAGGGTGATGGAGCCATGCAGCACCTGGGTACGGGTGGCTCTGTTGTACTGAACAAACCTCTCCTTGGGGTTTTTTTGTGGGTTTTTTTGTTTGATTTTGTTTGTTTTGATTTGGTTTGGTTTATTATTCTTCTCCTTTCTTCCAGTGAGCTGCTTCTGGGACCTGTACCTACCAGCTTCACCTTCCTGCCTAAACACAAGGCAAATTCCTACAGATAGGGCTGATGAGGCCCTTTCCCATGGCAGTGGGTCAAGAGGAGGCGTTAGGCTGGTGTGTGTCGAGGAGCGGGGTTGCTAAGCTGTGCTCTGAAATGAAATAAACTTTTATGTTTTTAGAAGCGAGGTTGCCTTCACACCCTCAATATCGGTCCCTGCCACAAGTTATGCAGCAGATGGTGCCTCACTAATAGAGAACAGTCTGTTTAATTAAGAGGATACAGTCCAGGAGAGATCTTTGACCTCCAGTTCACGGTGGGAGTTGTCCTGACTCCCCCACGCCACACACGGTTCACACAGCAGGAGCGAGAGGCCTCTGTTCCTACCAGGATGTCCTTGGTAGAGCTAAATCCTCCAAGTCTGAGGAGGGGATGTACTAACACGAACCCTGGGGTCCCGTAGAGCACAAACAGCCCCAGCATCTTGTTGTCAGACGTGCAGAATCTAGTACATTCTGGGAGCATGGAGTAGGGTGCACAATCTCCTCCTGGGATTCACACACGGGGGAAAACACTGACCCCTCTGAGGAGGGTCCAGAGCTGCTCGTTTCCTACGTGAGACGGAAAGACCTGAAGCACTGGGTGAGCAGCGCCAGGGGAGAGCATGTGGCTGAGTGACACGGCATGAGCTTCCCTCGTGCCCTCGAGGTCCTTTTTCCTGTCTCCATCACTCCAGGTAGAGCAGCGAACAGAATCACAGCCAGGAGACTCAAATGCATTTGCTGTGTGGCATGAGGAGGCTGTGGATGCACCTTGGACCCCACACAACTTCCCTGAAGGAACTTGTTCTTTTTCTCCATGAAAAACACTATTAAGAAAAAAAATTTCTACCCATGGCATCTGACAGGTGCCCGTAGGGGTGCCCAGGCCCTCTTAACCCTTTCCCTCCCCAGGTGGAACTGGGGTGGTTGCTGGGGGCAGGGCGTAACCATGGCAGCCCCAACATTCCGTCCGGGACACCCCTGGGAGACTTGGCAACCAACAGCCGCCACAAACCATGGAGCTGCCACCAGGGTGGTCGCTCGTGCGCGGCTCCTGCAACCCCCATGGCCCCTGGTTCCTGCGTCTCACGCAGCTCCCCCAAATCTTCTCCACCCAAGGTAGGCAGCGACCCCGACCCCGACCCCTGCAGCCCGGGGACGCTCTTGGGTCAAGAGCGGAGCTGAGCGCCGGCCATGGCTCCCGTCTCTCTTCCAGGCCCAGCCAACCTGTGCCCACTGCCCGGGCAGGAGCAGCCCTTCCCCGCAGCCTGGACACCCCCGGCGGGGGGGGCACCCCACGTCCCCCAGGACCCTCCAGCAGGTATGGCACCCCTCTCTGCCCCGGCACCCCGGCACCTTCAGCACCCCCGACCACGGGCATCCCGGCATCCCCATCACTGCCGTGTCCCCTCCCCAGGCAGTTTTCACAGGAGGGTTCGGCAAGCCCCGGCGAGCGTCCCTGCCCTCGCCTGGCTGATGTGTGCCCAGTACAGCCCACGGCCAGAGAATTTACCAGATACTTGGTGCCATCTCTCCCCCTTTCACCTCAGAGAAGCCAGTCTCCTCCCCGATTTGTGACCCCCTCCCTTTGGCACAGCAGCTCACCCCGCGGGCAGCGCCCCGGCCACGAGCTCCCCACGTGCCTGGCACAGAGCCGGGGGGTGTTGGGATGGGGGCTGGCTCGGTGGGTGCCCCCAGAGGGTGCCCCCGGCTCAGCACAGCTCCCTCTCCCCCACACAGGGATGCTGATGGCTCCGTGTGGCTGCTGCTTTGATCCCCGGGTCTACGGCTACGAGTGGACCAGCACACCACCACCGCCCACCTCCATCCCCGACTGCGGGAACATCGAGGGACTGTCGGCTCCCGTCAACACCGCCGGCACGGACACCACTGCGGGGACACCCCTGGGCACTGGCATCGCCCCAGGCAGCAACGTCCCCCCCAGCCCCGCTGCTGACCCCTACAGCCATGGACCTGGGGACGTGATGGACGACCTGGCTGTGACCGAGGAGATGCTGCAGCAAGAGGCCCTCAGGCTCCTCGGTTGCTCCCTGGACACGGTGGGGGTCAGCCAGAACGGGCCCAGCAGCAGCCTCACACCTGGGAACCCTGGGCACACCGGTGCAGCCGTCCCCCCCTGTGACTCCCCCTCTCTTGAGCTGCCCGACAAGCTGCTCAGCCTGGACTGCGGCATCCTCGACACCATCGACAGCGTCCTGGGCCTGGAGGACTTTCTGCTGGGGCTGGAGGCCCAGGAGCCGAGTGGGGATGTGGGGATGGAGCCGCCCCCATCCCAGCCGGCCGTGCCAGAGAAGCGGGGCAGGAAGAGGAGGCAGAGCGACCTGGCAGCACCCCCCAGCAAGCGCAGGGAGCTCGGAGACAGACCGGGGGGGCCAGAGGGGAAAAGAGACTTATGTGGGGAGCCAGGCAGTGGGCGACGAGGGTGGGGATGTTCATGTGTTTGGTGGGACGGAGGGTATTAGAATAACTTTGATGGGGTGTTCTTTGTTATTTATTGCAATTAAAGTCTCTTTTCTTCAAAACAAAACCTCTCTGTGTCTGTGTAGGAGGGGGAGGCAGCGCAGGGGCACCGTGAAACGGCACCCAAGGGTGCAAGAGCCCCGCTGAGCCCCAAATCACAGCCGGCCAGTCCCGAAGGGCACCCAGCCCCCCCCAGGGCCCAGGCACCCCCAGCGGGGCAGGCAATGGCGGGTGGGGGGACTCCTCCAGCCCCTTCCCCCGGACAAGCAGCCCTTTGGCGGGGCAGCCGGGACAGACGGCTCCCTGCAGGACTCACGGACACGGCCCCAAGCAGAAAGCAGCACGGAGCCCCCGGCACCAGCACAGACATTGCGGGGCCAGGGGGGCACGGGCACACACCCCAGCCAGGGCCCAAGGCCTTCGTCCTGACCACGCCAGCGTCCCCTCCCGCGGGGACAGGGCTCGCTGCAAAGCCCTTCCCGGCCTCGAGCCCTTCCCGCCCTCCCTCGCCTCCCGCCCCGCTCCGCAGCCCGGCATCGCCTCAGCGCCGCAGCAAAAGGGCCCCAAATCCCCCCAGGAACGGGCAGGGAGGAGCTGCCGGCCAGGCTGGGACCCTCCTCCCCTGGCCCGGCTGCACCCTGGGCTCACACGAGACCGGGACGGGGGCAAACTGGAAGCAGAACAAAATTACTAAGTCCCTGCACAAGGCCCAGAGCGCCTGGAAACTTCCTGTCTCTTCAGTGCCCCTTTCCCAGCCGAGCTCCACAGCCTGGGCCCAGCACGGGCCGCGGCGCCGGCGGGAAGCGGCCGCAGCTCCCCAGGCTGATCCAGCCGGTCCCTGGCAACTCCCGTGGCCACGTTATGGAGTCGTCGCGATTTAAAGTGAAATCAGCACCTGCACATTGGTTTTAGGGGTCAATAAAATATATTGGGGAGCGAAAGGGAGCCAAACAGCGCCGGGAGTGCCGGGGAATCTCTGCTCCACCAGGACACACACCTACACCCCGGAACGGAGTCCTGTGACCGGGCAGCGGCATGAATATTCATGAGGGGGTGCTCCCGGAGGGGTCTGCAAGTCCCCAACAGCTTTTCGGGGCTTTTCTGTCCCGGGCTTTTGCTCCCAGGGAATGTTCGCGGGCTTTCCACCGCGGGGAGCAGGGACGGCTCAGCACAGGGGTGCTGGTATCCACGGGCCAGACAGGGCTGGACATAACCGCATCTGGCCTGAGGGCGGCGGCCATTTTGGCTCCTTGTAACGGCTGATTTCAGCCACAACAACTATAGACATAATGCCTTATTTCTTATTTCTTTTAAACCTGAGCTTACATGCAAAGTGCAAAAACATTTAGAGCCATAACACTGTCTGACCACAACAAAGTTCAGTTACAATACAATCCGACATTAACACAATTCCTTTTGATATTTCATTTACTGGGTAATATATTTAACCAAAACTTGAGATTTGAATAACAAATATCATATAGTTTTTATTACACGGTGCAATTCCTTTTCCTCGGCAGCTCAGCGAGCAGGTCCCTGCTCAGCCGAGCCCCTTGTGCCCCCTCGCTCGACGCCTGACACAGGGCAGGTGCCTGCTCCCGAGCTCCTCCAAGGGGCTTCTGCAGCCCTGAGCAGCACTCGCCGGCTCCTGAGGCCTCACCTGCAGGTTGCCAGGGACTCTGCTAAGTACCTCCCCGAAGAAGTAACGTTTGCTCTCTCCAAACCCTCCGGAGCAGCTCTGCTGCCCTTTTCCCCTCCTTCCAGGGACCAGCTTCAGCTCAACAATCCTGTCATGGCTCTGGCCCAGACAGTCCCCTGCCACCCCATGTCCCACCAGCCCTTCTCCACTCCCTCCAAGCCAGTCTCGGGGGCATCTGTCCTGTTGGCTCCGCGAGTCCTTGTGACAAGAAGTTCTCCCCGCAGAGCTCAGGACTGTTCCAGCCCTGCTTGTCCCAGCAGGATGGGATTCCCAGCGGGTGTTACTGGGCAGTTGGCAGCTGCCACAAGGACCAGGCTCAGCGCTCCAGAGATTTCTCCCAGTGCCCGCAGAGGAACCGCGCAGCGCTGGCGTCCCGGCTGGGCGAGCGGCAGGAGACACCCACTGGGACATCTGCTTTGTTTTCCATCCCCGTCAGCCTCACCCCGAGGCTCCCAACCACGTCCTCGTCCTGGCTGACTGTCAGCCCTGCAGCATCACACCTCTCCCTGCCCTGCCTGCCCTGCCTGCCCCTCCTGCCCCACCTGCGCCCTCCATCCCAGCACTCCAGGTGTGGGGCTCCTGCCACCAAGTCCCCCTGATCCCAAGGCTGTCCCCGCTCTGGGCACGGACCAAGGCTTCCAGCCCAAGGCCCCTGCACCCACAGGCCCCTTTTAACCCTTTCCCTCCCCAGGTGGAACTGGGGTGGTTGCTGGGGGCGGGGCGTAACCATGGCAGCCCCAACATTCCGTCCGGGACACCCCTGGGAGACTTGGCAACCAACAGCCGCCACAAACCATGGAGCTGCCACCAGGGTGGTCGCTCGTGCGCGGCTCCTGCAACCCCCCATGGCCCCTGGTTCCTGCGTCTCACGCAGCTCCCCCAAATCTTCTCCACCCAAGGTAGGCAGCGACCCCGACCCCGACCCCTGCAGCCCGGGGATGCTCTTGGGTCAAGAGCGGAGCTGAGCGCCGGCCATGGCTCCCGTCTCTCTTCCAGGCCCAGCCAACCTGTGCCCACTGCCCGGGCAGGAGCAGCCCTTCCCCGCAGCCTGGACACCCCCGGCGGGGGGGGAAACCCACGTCCCCCAGGACTCTCCAGCAGGTATGGTACCCCT